GAATACACTTGGGAGGAGTTCAACTACTGGTCGCCACCATGGCGCAGTCCCTACTACCTACTGGAGCATCTGATACCTCGCCTGGAGCAGACTTTCCAGCCAGCAGATGTCATATATGGGTCAGAAGAAGATGAAGCACTGGCAGCAATGAGGAATCTGTTTTTGGAAGACGATAATATGGACTGTTGTGTCATTTTTGAGGAGGAAGGAGAGGAAGGCCCTTCCATACAAGCTGTGAGCCGAGGAGCGCGCCTCAATAATTGGTCCATCAGAACCACCACGGCCCGGAAAGCTTCGGGGTAGCAAGGCTGAACAAAGCACCATGCATCATCTTTATTTTTCGCTAGTTGATTTTCTTTCCGCATTTTATTTTCGAAAATAAGAGCTCCAATGTTCAAAACAATTATGAAGTTTATCAAAGCATTTCAGTTTCTTATATCAAAGCGCTTATTATTTTTCTATCGTTTACTTTATTTACACAGCATTACTATTACTTATCTTGATGAACCGACGATTGTGACTTGCAACGAGACAACGCAACAAACGGATATTGACTCAGAAGAGGATGATATACCAGAAGAGGTTGTTAAAGAAGTTGAGAACTTTGGGAATAGGCCTAAGTCTAACTTGGACAAAACTGAGGTTATCAACTTGGGGGATACAGAGAATGTCAAGGAAACGCGCATCAGTTCATCTGTCACCATCAGAAAAGGAAAATACACAGAGTTTCTAAGGGAATATGAGGACATATTCGCCTGGTCATATGATGATATGACTGGTCTCAGCACATCTATTGTAGCTCACAAACTGACAACGGTTCCAACCTCAACAGTGATTTGATGAAAGCCATGTGTGAAACCTTCAAGATCAAACACAAGAACTCTACAGCCTACAGACCTTAGATGAATGGAGCTGTAGAAGAGATGAATGGAGCTGTAGAAGCGGCCAATAAGAACATCAAGAAGATACTAAGGAAAATGATAGAGAAACACAAGCAGTGGCACGAAAAGCTATCATTTNACTCTATTCTCTTTTCAAAAAAAAAAAGAAACTGTTATACTAAACAGACTCTCTTTGTTTTACGAAATGTTTTAAGTGAAATTCCTTTCAACATTTCTGTCAAAACATTTTCGAACTCTCTTGCACTTCACTTTATTCCTAGATACTTAAGTTCCACCCCCTCAGTGTGAGCACTGCTTTGGGGACCTCCCGAGTACCCTCTGAACTCTGACACACTGAGGCTGGTATTTCCACACTGCACATGTTTAACTCTTGGTTACTAAGCCTGGGCGTGAGCATGGCCCAAGAGCCCTCGAGGTCCTTAGGGAACTTTGGCACACCCAAGCTATGAAAGGTTATTTTGGCAGTAAGGTTTGGAGGATTTGGGCCTACTGAAGGCTCCCTATAGAATAACTTCTTATTTTTTTATTTTCATTACTGTAATTCAGATACTACTGGTTTGTAATAATTTGTAAATGAATGATTGGGGGCTGAATAGTGAATATGGGGGAGGGGTATGCATGTTTATTTCTATGGGTAGAAAACATGTTTATAGGTTTTTTATTTACCTATTTGCGCAATAGATAACTTGCTTAGGACATGCATTTCATATGTTAGAAATCCTATTTTAGGTCTTTTATTCTCAGCATATTATTGTACTCACTTCGTAATCTTAATTATTAACAAACCGTCATTACTGCATTGGCGTAGTAGAGATCATGTTTTAGGCACTCTTCTGTGCATTAGACATCCTGCTGCTTAGAGTTTTATACTTATCTGGATTGCAATTGTCAAAATGCCTATTAGCATGCTTAATCCAACAATACGAGTACCATGCGTATCCTTTCTTTTTAAATCAGAATCAAATATGCATGTCCACTCTTTAAGACAATCAGACAATGTATATGACGCCTAGGCAAACTTTAGGCCTAATAAGAATTGATTAATCATGTGGTTACCAGTTTAAGACTAATTAGCCTCTTTTAATTTTGAACTCTGCTGCTCCCATTCTTATTTTTGATTCTCTGAACTTCACTCTGCTTTACTAAACTCTCGCCCTACTTTGAAATGATCTCGAAATAGCGTATCTGTTCTACTATGTTTTCTACTAGGTTACCCTTTTCTCCCAGAATCGTGCTATTATTTTCAAAGTTTTATCCTACGTCTCGTCAAGTTAATGTATCCTCATGCCTTTACTCTATTTACAAAGAATGTTTTAACGATTTTATCTATATTTTCACTAACTCCTAAACTGCTGTATACTTCTAAATCCTACTACTGTCCCACGTCGTATTTCTGAAAACCGAGCGTTTTTCAAATCACTTAGTCTTAATTAAGCTTCTGCTTTCACTGAAACTCACTGTTTTATTTCAACATTCCGGCTTTTAAAACTCTTGTCTTTGAGACCTTAAATGTGTTTGAGACGTGCTAATTATGAGCTCACTTGTGGAGGGATCTGTGAGCCTCTATGTGCCTTTGTATGTTCCCCTCATGTGCAGTCCTATTTGTTATGTATGTCGCTTAGCATTTTTGCCTTTAAACTTAAGGGTTCAGCCTAGGCCCCACCACGTAGGAATAGTGATCCTAAATACCCTCCAGGACTTATAGGACGGGACGGGTAATAGCACGCAATAAGTATTCGTGACCAACTCACGCGTTTAATAACCTTTATGGGGTGGGAAGGGTAGAATATGGATATGATGATCACGCGATAACACCATGTGTATAAACGGTTACCGGGTGTTGTGTGGGGCGATCCATATTGATTATAAACCTAGGACCCCCCTTTCCCTTTATTTGTTTTTTTTTTCATTTATTGTTTAAATCTTTTCTTGAATTTTCTGCCCTCTTTATCTCTCCTCAAATTTCCATTTTACTTGCAATATTGTGTGAAAACTCCCTCTATTTGAACCCTTATTTGCTTACTTGTTAAGTGAAGTCACAATTGTAACATGGTCGGGAACCACACTAGTGGATCTTGGGGGGTGCCTAACACCTTCCCCTCGAGATAATTTCTAGCCCTTACCCAAACTCCGGTTTTCAAACTGAAAAACTCTTTTTTTTGTGTCCTAATGCACTTAATCATTAGGTGGCGACTCTTCAAATTCCAAAACAAAACCCAAATCCCAAAAAGGAAAAGAGTTGTCCTCCCAAATGTCGTAAACCCGATTTCGCCTTTAAGAAGAAAAAGGGGCATCGACAATGATATTGTTCTAATTGACGAGATGCAAGACGGTGTTAAGGAGATGTTAGAGGTTTGGAGGCTGACCCTGGAGTCTAAAGGTTTCAAATTGAGCAGGACCAAGACATAATACTTGGAGTGCAAATTTAGTGGTTCGACTCAGGTTGTAGACGGAGAACTGATGCTTGATTCTCAAGTCATCCCTAGGAGTAAGTGTTTTAAATACCTTGGGTCGGTTATACAGGGGAATGAGGAGATCGACGAGGATGTTTTATATCGTATTGGGGCGGGATGGATGAAATGGAGGCTTGCTTCAGGTGTTTTGTATGATTAAAATATACCACCTAAATTTAAAGGTAAGTTTTACAGAGCGGTGGTCAGACTGACTATGTTATATGGGGCGTAGTGTTGGTCAGTTAAGAACTCCAATGTCCAAAAGATGAAGGTAGCTGAGAGGAGGATGTTGAGATAGATGTGCGAGCATACCAGACTAGATAGAATTAGAAATGAAGTTATTACGGACAAAGTGGGCGTGACCTCTGTGGAGGACAAGATGTGGGAGGCGAGACTCAGATGGTTTGGGCATGTGAAAAAGAGAGCATGAATGCTCTGGTGAGGAGGTGTGGGAGGTTGGCTCTGGAGGGCCTACGGAGAGGTGGAGGTAGGCCAAAGAAGTATGTGAGGAGAAGTGATTGGGCAAGATACGACTTTGCTCCATCTCACTAAGTACATGACTGTGTATAGGAAGGTGTGGAGGTTGAGAATTAAGGTAAAGGGTTAGGATAGGTCGCTTAGCATTGTCGTTGTTTGTGACAATAACTTCAGTACATGAGTTAGTGCTATTTATGTATTTTCGTATTCCGTGACTTCTTTGATTACTTATTGTTGCTTTCGTTTCGGCCATCTAATTGCAGTACTCAATTTAGTTTTGTTTCTTTATATTTTTGCTTCGATTTCTATTTAGTGTGCTTGCTGCTGCTCTTCCTTTTATCTTTCTTAAGTCGAGGGTCTTCCGGAAACAACCTCTCTGCCTTCTTGAAGGTAGGGATAAGATTTGCGTACATACTACGCTCCCTGGACCCCACTTGTGAGATTACACTGGGTATGTTGTTGTTGTTTTTTTTTTTATAACTTTTATTGCTTTATTAATTTTTATTATTAATAATATATTGCATTTTTCTCATTTTATACGACTAATGTTTGATAAAATACAATTTAACTATATTAGCAGATTCTAAAAAAAATATTACGTAAAACTATTGCTGAAAAGGTGGTTGTATTAAAAAATATGTCATACTAATTTTCTAATGGTTGAAAAAATATTATCATTTAAATTGTGAATGTTGAATAAATTATAGTAAAATTAAAACGAAAAGATTATTATATGAATTATAATCAATAATCTAGTAAACACCATCATATACAAGAAGATTAGAAAGAAAAAATCCTATGAGATGATTCAAAAAGAGTACAAAGACAACAGTCGAGTAGATATGAGATTTGACTTTGAGAAATTCTCTTAAATAGCTGCTCGACCAAAAAGCAGCCGAAAAATATATACTCCAATATATAATTTGTCCATAATATGTGTATAATGGCTAAGGACTATAAAAATGTTTTTGATCGAACAACTGTATGTGTAACTCCCCCTTGTTATTTTTTATTTTGGTACCATTGCCCTAATACATTTTTTACTAATTTTACGTATTTTACTTAATTTTAATTTAGTTTATTAGTTTAATGTTTTTTTTTGAAAAAATCTTTTATTTAAGCATTCCCTATTGGGCCTGTAATTTGATCCAAATAGCCAGACCCTGTTTGTACAGCCCAATTTTGACACACTCTACTACGAACAAGAGCGAGCTGCAACCTGCCTCGATCTCAGAGCGCTCATCCTCCCTCTTCCGATCAGATTGCACAATCGCCGCCAATATCCGCCTCCTAAACCACGACCAACGATCATGTTCCGACACGGTTCAAGACAGCTCCTAGCTAGAGCCACAACGATGAGGTGGCGCCGCCCATTTTCAACTGGCCTGCCAGCGGAGCCCCGCGTAGATTCCACATTCGTAGAAGCGTGGAAGAAATTAATACCCAACACTGAACCACCTAAGACTCCTTCTGCATTCATGGATCCTAGGCCTGCAACACCCTCATCTATTCCTACAAAGCTCACCGTCAACTTTGTCCTTCCTTATTCCTCTGAACTCTCCGGTAAAGAGGTATGTTTGTCGTACTTATTTTATGATGGGGTCTTCTTAAAAAGTGGAGTCTTGATATGTTATTTGTGAAAATGGTCTCTAATTTTGTACCTCCAATCAGTGGATCAACTGTGCCTCGATTCTAAATTACATAGGCCATCATAGGAAGTTGTTTTTGAGATTCTTTTCTTTTAAACTGACTGTTGACAATTGACGAGCTGAGTGAGGCAGAGAAAAATGAGAATTGGTTGGATTACAAACGCACAACATTTGATTTGTTAATGATGATCTTGTGTGTGTTATGGATCATTTTATATAATTCCAATTTGTCCTATGCTAATAACTGAGTTAACTTGTTGGTGGTTGCTTAGTTTTCAAGTATCAGAACCAACTGTAAAAATTCGTTAATTTTCGTGCTTAAGTATTAAAACGCAAGACACACATTGACGATCAAGTAGTTCATGACTCGCAGATGTAGTCAATTTTCTCATGTTATAGCTTGAAACGGCTGGGTTGTAAATAAATCCTTAAAGGAGTATTTCAAGAAACCTTGCACTAGATAAGCTTTAATTCTATCGCGAAAATTTTGAGGAATGACATGGAAATGATGCTGGAAAATTTACTACATTGGAGATTGTATCAGTCAAGTAGATTACAAATGTTGTGGTGTTCAGACTTATGAATTCAAGGGAAATATATAAAGATTAGGGAGTCAAATGCCTTGGGGTTTGCTCCCTTTCAAGGTCTCAAGTTCGAAACCCACTGGGTGCAAACAATTTCTGAGGGCTATCGGATTGGGTAAAACCTGAATTAACCGTGGTGCACTTGCGGGAAACTCCTTGCCGAGGGCCTGTGCACCCCCGGGATTAGTCGGGGCTCTAAGAGACTCGGACACCCGGTGCAAATCAAAAAAAAGATTAGGGAGTCAAATGCTTGATGCAGAGACTATGTCTTGCTTTTTTCCTGCACTTGGCGAATGGCCTTTTGTAAGCAATATGCCCTCTCCCCCATCACCTTGACCATACATTGTTCAAAAGTAACTTTTTGCGTGCATTGATTACAGAATTAGAAAGAGCACAGAGTTGGGCTTCTGCTCTGCTGTCTTTTCGGTTTGATGCTTCTATAAACGTCTAACGATACTTGCCCTCTACCATCAATATTCTGTACCTTCAAACTTATCAAGTACAGTTAATATGCATTATGACCCAAAAAAAAGGAAAGAGAAAAAAACCTCTTGAACAATCAAATGGAATCATGAAGCTGTAGTAGGGAGTTTGCTTTCGACAGGCAAATTACCCTTCATTTTCTATCTCAACACGCTATCCGTCCTTTTTTTTAATTGATCCTTTTGAGCATCTGGAGTGATTGCATCCATAGAAGTCTACTAAAGGCAAAAAACCAAGCTTCCGAAGCTTCTAGAAGGCCTATGAAAGATCCAAGACAAAGGAACTCAAGACAAATTTGGGCTTCAATTGCAAATTAGAAAGAAGAGCTCAAGCCAATTGAAGATCAATTTGACAATTGCTATAATTGTCTATTCAAGGCCCAAATTGATGTCTACATGATGAAGATTAGGGGGCACAATTTCAGCACTAAAAAAGTCCAAGAAAAGAGGCGACACACACACACATTCATTCTCAAAAAAATTAAAAAAGAAACCCTTTTATATGGAGTACGGTGGTGCCTAATGCTAGCTAAGAGTATAACCAAATTTGGTTAGAAAATATAAGTAAAAATGAACTGGGAAATAGCTAACTGATAAAGAACGATTAGGGAAGAAATCATACATTCTTGGAAAGGAGATCCAACAACCTTAGGAGAAGGAAACTAAAATTCTAACTACCTAGGAAAGCACCAAACATAGTCCTAATAAATTAGGATTACAAGTCATGAATCAATTAGGAAAGGATCTTGAAAATCTTGAATTAAGTTGGACCGAGAAAACCTTCAAACCAGGGAAACATAAAGTGTTACGAATTTTCATGCAAATAAATAAACCATTTTTGTCGTAACTATTTATTAATCATAAATTCTTAATCTATGAATATTTTACATGGAATAAGAATTATGATTAATAAATAGTGACCGCCAAGGTGATTTATTTATTTGGAATCATTGAAAATTCTTCACGGCTTTATACATGTGAGATTATATTATACATGGAACAGGAATTATGATTAACAAAGAATTTTCACCAAGTCGTCTACTTGTCATTGAATATTCCCGATGTACCATGTATAGATTGTCTAGGATACGGGGTGATAAGAATTAATTCCTATGGTCTCCACTGATAATTACTAGTGAGATGATAAATTTATATGACTTTAAGTCTTTTTCATATCGGATAAATTTATCATAAGTTCACTAGGTAAAATTTCTAGTAATTTGATACATGTACTAACTCTCGATCTTAGTTTTACATGCTAGGTTAAATTTGAAATTCTAACACAGACATGATAAAGTGGTGATCGAAATTAATTCATGTTGTCTCCATTGCTAATTACAATTTATATGTGAGAATAAATTTATATGTTGACTTTAGGTCCTCGTCCATATCGAATAAATTTAGTATGAGCGCATTCGGTATAATTGCTATTAATTCTTGATAACAAATTTGCTAGTAATTGATAACATCGACTAGCTCTCTATCTGTGTTTGACATGTTGGAATTTGGATCAATAGAACTAGTGTTCAAAGATTATATACAATTGACTAAAAGTAATAGTATACGCTCCAACTGAGTTAGGTCTATTTCTTTCTGGATTGTATTAATCTTGCATTATTTATATACATTGCACGAGCAGTATTTTCTCATCGAAGGTTACTGTTCAAGATGCATATATGTATAAATGTTGAATCCATTCTAGATTTTATCATTTAGTGTTATTTGACTTATCCTGATCTGTTTAATATTTATATCTAAAATTCACAACGACTTCATCCAATCCTCTCATTAGTTTCTTTTTGGAAGGAATTTGGCTTCTGTTTCTAGTTAAAAAGAGATGGATGTTCAATTTATTTTTTTCATAAACGTTTTAACCCTCGTGGTACATTGATGCATGTTTTTTTTTTTCTATTATTGATATCTCTTTCGAGATGAACAATATTAATCTACCCCATAAGAGAAAACGTTCTTCGGAACTGAATGAAACTTGTGCACTTGCGTTAAGTCATATTAATTTTGATAGGATTTTGAAGTTGGTCAAGGATAGATCTTAAGGTTCATTGAAAGTGGAGGCATTGCTAATTTGTAAATCCTGTTTGGAGAGAGAAATTATTATGAGACCTTTCCCCTCAAAAGGAAATAGGCTTAGCAATAAGTTAGAATTAATCCATTCTAAGTTATATAGTCTAATGAATATACAACCAAGAGGTGGTTTTGAGTATTTTATGACGTTCATAAATGATTACTACAACAACAATAACAACAAACCTAGTGTATTCCCATAAATGGGGTCGGGGAGGATAGTGTGTACGCAGTCCTTACCCCTACCTTATGAAGATAGGGAGGCTGTTTCCGATAGATCCTCGGCTCAAGGCACAGTGGAGATAAGGCAACAAGTAGCAAACAATGATAACAACAATACATTTAGGTAACGTGCACGAATGACACAACATGTAATAGTAAAGAATCATGAATAAGATAACACAAAAATAGTCCTAGTACTACTGGTAAGCCTAAGAGGAACACACTACTAACTGTCAACCTTCAACCCTGATCCTCGACCTCCACGTATTTCTATCGTGGGTCATATCCTCGGTAAGCTGGAGCAATGACATGTCCTGCCTAACTACCTCTCCCCAATACTTCTTAGGCCTGCCCCTACCCTTCCTCAGACCCGCCATGGACTCATAAATGATTACTCAAAATATGAAATGTTTATTTGATGCACCTTAAGTCTGAATACTTTGAAAACTCAAGAATTTAAGATAGAATGAAGAAGTATCATGGAAAATATATTAAGTCAATGCAATCTAATCGTGGTGGCGATTATCTCTCTGTGGAGTTTACCAGTTACTTATCAAAATAGAAAATCACATCCAAATTGCCTACACCAAAGATGCTACAATAGAATGATGTAGCAGAAAGAAAAAATAAAACTCTAATGAAGATAATTAGATGAATGATGAGTTATTTAGATTTGTCGTCTTCTTTTCGAGGATATTCCTTAGAAACTGCAAATTACGTTCTTAATTAAATCGGTACCTTGACACCTATAGAACTGTGGGCTAGACGTAGACTCGGTTTGCGGCATGTTCGGGTATGGGGTTGTTCAGCACATGTGCTGAAAGGAAAAATGGACAAGTTGGAATCAAGAATGGATGTGTTTGAGTTTATGGATATCCAGAGGGAATAAAAGGAGGTTTATTTTGTTGTTTTAAAGGAAATACGGTAATTGTTATGCTAGATTTCTAGAAGAGAACTATTTAATAAACCATGTTCTCAGAAGGAAAGTAGTCTTACAGGAACTAAGCAAACAAATAACAAATAAGTCATATGAAAATCCAGACGTTCCAGAACATCCAACCTTACAAGTTGGAACTAATGTTTCATTGTATTTAAGTAGTGGGACGGAGTAATGTTGAGAAAAGAACACTACATGAAGAAGTCGTTAATATTCCATTATTGCAAGTACTTGGTCGTAATGGGAGAATAGTAACAAAAACTCGTTCGGTGTACACTATTGGCAGAGTTTCATCATAGGATCTTGGAAGAGCTTTATACCGAACCAGTTAATTACGATAAAGTAATACTTGGACAAGATTGCATTAGAAAACAACTTGACAAGATCCTTTTACAAAGAGTTTACCGGCAAAGACTGTTGATAGTTGTCTGATGGAATGCCTATGAAAGTTGTAGATGCATAATTATAAATTTGAGTGGGAGATTGTTGGGATAATACTATTAACCATGCGTTTGGATATAATATTTATTCACAATTGTCCTTGTGAAAGTTTAAGTGAAAAATTGTTGGGATATCACTATTAACATTTAGATTATAATTTTTAGGCAAAATGACCTCGTAGCCTTAAACTTGCACCGGTTTTCCATCCCGATATATGAATTTAGGAGTGTCCCATTTAACACTCCAACTCAATAAAATGAGTATTAATAAACACCTCTGACCCTTAACCAAGTCTATGTGGCAATAATGTGTGCATGTCACGCAAATTAGATGTGTGAATGCAATTTGTTTGGGTAATTAAAAATGAAAAGAAAAGACAAAGTAAAAAGGATAAAAAATAAAAACTTCCCTTTACTAATCTTCCCC